TGCATTTCAACTAAGCACGGCTTATAGTTAAAGGAAACCTTTTCTGAAAGCAACATAGAGCCTGGCATGTCACAGCCTGAGTAGGAAAGCTTGTCCCCTGCCAGCATGCTGCAGAGAAAGACCCTTGCGCTCTATGGGAAAGCAGCGTTCTCTCTGCATGGGGAGCTCTGACATGCCCCATGCCGAGTCAGACCTATAGCTCTGCAGCTAGCAAGCTCATGCTCTCTGCTGGCTGGATAGCTCTGACTAAGCAGGGGGGCACCGCTGCAGAGACCACTGCTTCCCCACAGAGTGCAATGGACTTTCTCTGTAGCATGCTGGCAGGGGGACAGGATTATACTCACCTTTTGTTTTGATGCAATTAGAATTCATTTGGCTGCTTTAAGCTAAACCCCTGGTAGTTTTACCACTACTCCATTCTGTGGAGGTACTACAAATCCCAGCAATACATTATAGAGCAATAATGAATAATACCATCATCTATAGAGGACTACAAATCCCAGCAAGACATTATAGAGCAATGCAGAATAATACCATCAGCTATAGAGGAGTTTGAATCCCATCAATACATTATACAGCAATGCAGAATAATACAAGCTATAGAGGACTACATATCCCAGCAAGACATTATACAGCACTGCAGAATAATACCATCAGCTATAGAGGATTAGAATAAGAAGCTTCAGAGCCTGACTGTCTCTGGCCCACCCCTTTCATTCATTGGACATAGTTATTTCCACTATGGAGGCTCAGTTACCTAGGGTGGTCATAGAGAAGCACAGAGATTCAGTAATAACATCACTGGGTCTAAAATAAGGGATCTGATTTTTTTTTTAAAATATATTAATTAATAGTTGAATAATCAGATTAGCATTTTGATGAGGCAGGAGGGGTAGGAAAGGTAAGCTATAAGAGGATTAAACCTTAGCTTTAATCAAATCACACTTGTCAATTCAGAGAAGAAACATCCAGGCAATACAATTTAAAAACAACGTGGAATTTCAATCATTGGTTCAAATAATAATGAGGAATTATGTAAATAGAAGATTAAAGCTGGGAATGATGTACTGCGATTTATGTATCGTGTAGATGGAGGTCACATAGGTCTATAGGTAACCTCATTCTGTCTGTATAGGTGGTAACACCCTTCCCGCCACCCAGCATGACCTCGTTTTATACCCCCCCATCTAATTAGTGATCGGTGGGGACCACTAATACTGCTACACAAGGTGTCCCAAAATTAATCAGATATATTTTCTGATGGTAAAGGGTACAGGTGAAACTCGAATAATTAGAATATCGTGCAAAGTTCATTTATTTCACTAATGCAACTTAAAAGGTGAAACTAATATATGAGATAGACTCATTACATGCAAAGCAAGATAGTTCAAGCCGTGATTTGTCATAATTGTGATGATTATGGCTTACAGCTCATGAAAACCCCAAGAACCCCAAATCCACAACCTCAAAAAAGTAGAATATTACATGCAATCAATAAAACACGGATTGTACATAGAACAATATCGGACCTCTGAAAAGTACAAGCATGCATATGTACTCAGTACTTGGTTTGGGCCCCTTTTGCAGCACTTACTGCAATTACTTTTGCACGATATTCTAATTATTCGAGTTTCACCTGTATGTGTAGCCCAGTATTTTTTTATGAATAGGTCTATTTTGTTGTTGTTTGTGTACCACTGGGAAAATTTCCCTTTACGCCCCATTCCAGACACAAAATATGTTAAATGTAAAACCTAAAGTGAGGGGAATTCCTCCTTGGGTAGTTGACCCTGGTAAAAAAAGTGTCCCTATTAAAAGATTTCCCCTAATCCTAGCCCTGGGGTAAACTCTAAAATGTTGGTTTCCCATTCATTTTCTTCTCAGGACAAACTGAGGTCCATGGGGCGCAGGAGCAGGGGCTCGCCTGAGGGGCGCAGGAGCTGGGGCTCGCCTGAGGGGCGCAGGAGCTGGGGCTCGCCTGAGGGGCGCAGGAGCTGGGGCTCGCCTGAGGGGCGCAGGAGCTGGGGCTCGCCTGAGGTCTGAGGGGCGCAGGAGCTGGGGCTCGCCTGAGGTCTGAGGGTGAAGAAACGGAGGCTAATCTGAGATCTGAAGGTGCACAAACTGGGGCTGATCTGAGGTCTGAACGTACACGAATTGGAGCCAATTGGAGGTCTACGGCTTACTCTTGATAATTGGCACACTCAGTTCCTGTTGTGTGTTTAGCTTATATAGTAAAGGGAAATCTCCCCAAAGGGGCACAGATGGCAAAAACAAAACTGTCAGGGGTTTGAACCATCCTCTACTCTATCCAAAAAAGAACAACATGTGGCTTTAGATATACTTTTGTGGGAATAAATTAGAGCTCCTTGGGGGAACCTACAACTTCATGAGTGTCAATCTTGATGATCCTGCTCAGCCCTCCTGCCGATAACCTAGGAGAGCGACTTTCCTGGAAGCGTTAGCATACTGTATAAAACCAACAACAGCATCTGGAAACGAGCTCAAACAATGGCATTCCGGTCACAAAGCAAAACAAGTCGCCTTTAGTCGTCGCTCTCCACATAAAATGTGAACCTGTCACACGTGGAACAAGATCAGTAAACTGAATAAATGAAAACATTGCTTTACTTATTTTATATTCATTGTGCTATGGTCATCAATGGAAAGGGGCATTATGTTTAAAGAGCCATTACACCCAAGACATTTCGATGTTTGGAAAGTGCTGGAAAGTAAAAACACTTGACAGTCTCTTAAATCTCCTGGGGTTTCAGTATGCCTGCACTGAGTTCCTGGGTCTGCACACCAGCAGTGCCCATTATAAGGGGTCTCCATAATCCCTGCACTGTGTTCCCGGGTCTGTACACCTGCTCTGCTCACTATGAGGGTCTCCCGCCATCCCTGTGCCGACTTCCCGAATCGTTACAGCTGCTGTGCTCATTATGTGGGGCTCCCACCACCCCGGTGCCGAGTTCTCAGATCTGTACATGTGCTGCGCCCATTATGAGGGGTTCTTACCATACCTATTCAGAGTTTCTGCCTCTGCATACCTGTTGTGCCCATTATGGGGGGTCCCCACCATCCCTTTGCCGAGTTCCTTGGTCGGCACACCTGCCGCACCCATTACGAGGGGTTTCCCCCATCCCTGTGCTGAGTTCCTGGGTCTGTACACCCGCTGTATCTATTATGAGGGGCTAATTTTGTTTATTGAAAATTCTTACAAACAAGAACGTATCTATTATGAGGGGCTCCCACTATCCCTGCTTGTTTTTATACTATTTATTTTATGTTATGGTGACATTTCTATTCAAGTTCTATTTGCAGTGCCATCCGCAGTCATTACGAGCACCCGTTAACTTTCAGATATCCGGTAAAGAGTGCTGCAGGACATATGGACACTGGGTGCCATAAATGGTGTGACACCAAAAGTGCAGTAAGGTTTGGTATGATTGGCTGTTACATTAAACACAGGCTGTTCTTATTTCAGAGCCTCCAGTAAGGACCCATTCACACGTTACCGCAATGCATGGCAACGCTCTATGTGCACTGTGGTGCCCCTGATCACACTTGACTACGTTTCAGGTGATTCTGAACCTTTTTTTGTTTGCACATTTTTCAGGCTTGATTGTTTTTGCTTTGGCCATTAATCAGTTACTAGGAGGAGGAGGAGGAGATGGCTGTTAGGTGGGAAACTCTGTGAAAAACGCACGTTTTTCAGGCATATTTCAGGCGTTCTCATTGAATTCTATGGGGCCCATGCTCATGTACTTTTTCAAGTGACAACCAACATTTAGGTGTCCAGGCACCATTGAAAGTAATGGAATTCCTTATATTGAGCGTCACGCTTCGGTAACGAGCGTCAACACGCTCAGGTGTGAACGGGGGCTAAGCCATTTACAGCTGTGTAGTTTCCTACGTTATAACATGGCACGTTTACTGCAGCATCAGTCTAAAAACATTTTTATGATGTCACCCCCCTTAAAAAAAAATGCACATTATCTGCACTGTATAAAATACGCGGAAATTCCGCTTGGTTTTCCTTAGCACATCTCGGAAAAATGCAAAAAAACATGTTACCAGTTGTAAAGATACAATAACATTCAGTTTTGTTTTGCTTTGTGCATCAAGCACGTTATCTGACAAATGCAAAAACCATCATGTGACCATTTATAACGGTCTGGAACTCGCTGCCACATACTGTGATTTTCGGCTGAGAGTGTGGAATCATTCAAGAGGCGATTGGACGATTTCCTCAGGGACCGTAATATACAGGGGTACAAGTACAAGATTGAGAACACACAGAAGGGAATTTATCAAAACTGGAGCAGATGTGCATGACAACCAATCAGTTTATTCAGTTAAGATTTGAAAATGAGAGAGAGAGAGAGATGCTGATTGGTTGCCATGCACATCCGCTCCAGTTTTGATAAATTCCCTTCACAGTGACCTATACATACTACACATCAATAGGACCATACACACATACACAAATAGGTTGGACTTGATGGACATATGTCTTTATTCAACCTCAAATACTATGTAACTATGCAACATGTCAAAATTCAATTTTGTTTTGCTTAGTGCATCAAGCATGCTATCCGAAAAATGCAAAAAACATCATGTGACCATTTATAACGGGTACATATCGAAATTCAGTTTTGTTTTAGCTTAGTGCATCAAGCACAATTTCAAAAAATGCTCAAAAAAAAAAAAAAGGCACGTTACCATTTATAGTAACGCATATAGAAAAAAAAAATATACATTAGATGCACATAAAATAAACGACTCACAATTCATGCGCAAAAGGCACATGAAATGCATGCAATAACTTGTTGTAAAGGGCACATGACTGCGAATGCACACATGGGATACTACGCTTTAGAAAGGAAATGGAAAAAGGATCGGTTTGACTTTTTTTGTTTTTGTTCCAAAAAGTAGGTAATTTGGTTTAAAAATTGCATTGAATGGAAAAAAAAAGGGAGAAATAACGGTTGTCTACTCACCGCTTCTGCTGCAGCATGTGCACCACGTCCAGTTCCAATCCCTCGGGCGCGTGGCTTTGAATCTGGCTTTTAATCCCATTCCAGACGTTGCTGGGGATCCCCGAAGTCTTGTTACACTGAAAGATTCCCATTGCTAAAATATCCCGTTCACCTCTGAAAACCCTACAAGCACCTATTGACTCTTTTTTTTTTTTGCAAGCTTTAATGAAGGAACTTAATTAGCAAGAGATCATTTTAACCCGGGAGCATGAAAACAATGGGCAGACCTTTCTAACCTGGGAAGTCTTTCTGTTAAAACTAAATTAAAAATTTTAGGTTTCAAAATGTTTTTAAAAATGTTGCAATCTAAAATAAAAAAAAACCCCAAAAAATAGAACAGCTCTATGACTCCCTTCAGATATCAAGCAGTGACTCTGTTCCCTCTCGGAGACGAGAGTGACACAGGACTAGATGTGCAGGCAAATTAAAAAGAATTGTCCCATGCTGTAATTAAAAGTAGGCTGAGCCCTGGGAGGCCCTTTCTACCTGTGTGTGCCCAGAGCACGCACCTCCTTGCACAATTAAAGAGATAGAGACGTTCTGTTTACCAGCAAACACTGCCGTCCATAGCAAAGGGGGAGGCTTAGGAGGGGTCTGTTTGGTTGTCGGAGAGAGTGTTGGGGGCTGGGTTGCAGATACAACAGCAGCAGCCAAATAAGACCCCGAAAAGAAAGCAAAATGTGCCCAATAATTAACCGCATAATTGCCAGGTGCACAGACTATTACTGGATATTGGGTTCTTATAGGTATATTAACCTCCCTGGCGGTCTGATTATCCCAGTATTTTATTTTTTTAAAAAATTTTTTAATAAATTCAATTTTTTTAAATTTTTTTCTTCTAATTTTTACTTTTGAATCTCCCGCCGGTTCCACCCCCC